TACCGGATTGCAAATTTTCTAAACCATCACCGAACCATGAGATCTAAAAACCGAACCGAACCACACGGATCGGATTGGTTTGGACCGGATTGACGGATTATTTACTCACCCCTAGTCCTACGTCGTCAGTAGAGTGAGTAGAAACCTCTGCTCAGCACGAACACGTCTAAGTCTGGAACTGTCGTGTACCTGAAAAAATAGAAGTGGGTCAGGCCCACGCGCAAGTTCTATACTACTACAATCCAAGCAGAGACCCGATACACATGTACATCCTAACCAATCCAATAATAACTAAATAGTCCGTAGATATATATATATATATTCACACTACATGACTCTCACTGGACTACAGGCCGGTCTCAACCTGAATAGAGGTAACATGCTAAAACGCACACGAAGTGGGCATGTGTACCTAAACCTAAACAGGGTACACCTCCAACCATCGTAGCCAACTATGCATCCCAATGCATATATGCTCCCTAACCGTCGATCTTAAGACTCAAGCTCATATCGAGGTACCAGAATGATATATTTAAAATCCATCCTGTATCCTAGTAGTGCCGTTCAACTAGTCGTTGTCATGACACTACAATCAATAGGACTTAACTTTTAGCTAATCCAATTCTTAATCCAGAGTAGGTAGGACTTAGCGTTTTTGAGCTAATCCCCCTAGTATGTCACCGTCCCATACCGGTGCATACAAACCATCCATCCAGTGTTGATAATAAAATGACAGTAAACATATCAATATCAACATATCCAATACGAGTATAACAAGAATGCGTATATAACATGCTTGTTCAATACAACTAGTACATGATTCTCTAGCAATTTAAAATGCAGAGACCAAATATAACCATCCTGTAACCCACAATAAACATAACAATAATAATATCAGAATTAACATGCTTACTTGTAAACACACCACAACATCCAGTAAGTTGATATAAACAATTCTTTGTAAACATCAACTAATTTCTTATTAAGCAATAACAGCATTTGTGTAAGTTGACATGCTTAATCCCATACCACTGTTACATGATATAAATATAAAATTCCAAATTCAATTGCTAATTTTAAATTAAGCAATTTGAATCATCTATATCGAAGTAAACCTGAAAACTTCCCTAAGAGTTTCAGACCGTGTCCCTATTTTAGCTTCTTATGGTATTTTATGAATTACCAGACCTTTTGAAAATTTAACAAGGTTTATACCTTACTGAACACCCCAAGAACAACTCCTGTTTCAGCCTGGAACTTTAAAAATTCAATCACAGCAGCCTAGGTTCGCAGAAAAATAAAAAAACTGAAAAACCTTTGAAGGAACCGGCTCCCTCAAAGAGGGAGCTGCCTCCAATAATGGAGGAGCCGCCTCCAAGGCCTTAAGAGCCGGCTCCACACATGGTGGAGCCTACTTTGCACTTTGGTGAGCCTGCTCTTCTCAAAATAGAGCAAACTCTTCCCCTGTTGCATTATCTTCTCCAACTCTAGCGATGTCCGGCAACTTTGTTCCTCCAAACCAAGTTTTTTACTGATTAAAACTAAACCCTAGTGTGTTCCAGAGTTAATTAAATCCATTACTTTTTAATCAAATTCAATTAGAACGAGAATCAAGCAAAAACAGTTTCAAAGCGAATAGAAAATACATACAAGAACCCATACTGTTTTAATTTAACTTTATTTCATCCTGGGACTGAATTATGGATGCAAAGAACACAGGCCAAAGAGTTAGAGTTAGTTATCAAACTCGCCTGTGAGATTTGGTTCAAAAATCTCAATGTCTTTCTCCTAAGCTTTTCCGGCGATCCTTTGGTTTTCCCTCTCCGTTTTATCCCAGATTCCTCTACACGTCTCTCCGTTCTCTGTATGCCATGAATAAGGTTCTAAAACCCTAATAAGAACGTACTACATGTATTTATAGGCCACCCTTAAACCTAAGCCCAACCAAACCCTAAACTGAAACTTGGCCCACAGAAAAATCTAGGTTAATATCAATGTCGGCTATAAATTGTGTAACCTATATATGCAACCAATCCTACAGTCACGTTAAAACTAATTAAATTTAATTAAATAAATTCATACCATTAAAGCAATAATTAAAACAACTAATTAAAACAAAACAATTAAATAATTAATACAATTAAATCAATAAGTAAAACAATTAAATAAATTAACTACAACTAAATCAATTAAATAAACATATATACACTTAAACAATAAAAATTGAAATTTAAACAATAAAGAAAATATTTAAACAATAAAGAAAATACCAGGACTATCCTTTTGAAATTAGGGGTATTACAAACAGTAAAGCTTCAAAATGGCAGCAATGGTAGAGCATACCTTAGCACAGACCACCCTCTGGGAAGCTCTATGACCTTTGAAAATTCTTGCATTTGTGTTTGTTTTATATAAAATGAAGAGTGTAAGAAACGTTGGTATGGTGTTCAAAATGTATTAACGAAGTGTTCCGCATGTGTCAATTAAGTGTTTGAAATAATAAAATTTATTTTAAAATAATGAACATGATCATGAAGTGTCGGACACGTGTCTAAAAGAGTCAATGGAGTGTCCGTGTTTGATACGATATTAGACATGAACATGGTACTTCATAAAAGTGTCCTTGCTTCTCAAATTATAACTTTTGAATCTAAAGAGTCGGACTACAATAAAATTTTGTGTGCCAACTATTTGGAATTAGCTACATTAATTCTTATTTCCATTAAGTTCTATCCAAGGCCACTTATACTGTAACAGGCCTCAACTTATATATGTTAAAGTGGTCCTTGTATTCTTATCAACCTCAATAAGAATCAGAGATGGGGCTAGGTTCAAAGGGGCACATTGTAGTATTATACACCATAAACATATATTTACAATGGTTGTGTTTGGGGAAACTTCTCAACACCAGAAGTCCTTTTGTTGATAATTCCTTTCAACAAGAATTTTGCTAGAGTAATGCTTGGGTCCTACCTTATCAGGACAATAAATTTACAATAAAAAGTTGTTCGGTGAGTGTACTTTTTAAGAGTCATTTTACTATTAACTAAATTTTTGTTTGACAATTTTACATCTCATATATACCATTTCCATTCAAACCGATCTCCTTAATACCCCCATTCAAACCCCTCTCCATCGTCTTTGACGAAGGTCGAAAAAAATACCAAATTAAATTTTTTATAAACAAAATATACTACCTTACGACATGAGAATGCAGCAAAACAGCAAGATTAGTTGATTAAAATGAGAATGCAGCAAAAACAGCAAGTTTGTGTACTATGAATTTCATCTCCATTACAATTTTTAAAAGAACCATTAACATATAAACCAATTACAGTAAAATTGTAGACCCATTTTTACCCCTACTCAAGATTTGATCATGGATTTCATCCTTAATAATGGTGCATTAGATCAATAGATTATTTAGAAATTCACCTTCTTATAAAGGTTGCATTACAAATACATAATAGGTTGAGTTATGAGTCTGAGTGCAAGCCAACAGGGAATTAGAAGTGGCATTTTGTTGACTTCATTCACCTTGATATACGTAACAAGAGTCCTCCCTCCCAAAACCCATGACTTTAATTTCCACACACACACACACACACACATATATATATTTATTGTTCTATAGACCCACTTTATGTTACAAATGCTCGTATATGAAGACATATTAGTTAATAATAGCCTGTAAAATATAAGGGGTTCGTCGGCGATTTTTTTTGCAATCGCCACTTTTGCTAATCGAAGAGAATTGTGAGTAGGAGTAACATGTAGTTTACCCTTTCAATAGAGATTTGTAAATTCAGGTGTCAAAGGAGGATATGAGTCAGATCATGGTAAAAAATACAGACGAGATATGAGGAAATAACCAATCGAACAAATGGATATAGCTGAAAATTCAGATGGCGTATGGAAGGAGAACGAGTGGCATGATGGATTTAAAGAAAAAAAGAATTTTGCAATTGAATTGAAAAATAGGTTTAAATAATGGACAAGATAGAGATTTTACTTAAAAAGTGTTCCACTTGTGGGAAGTGAATTTGAAAGTAGGTTTTCCTAACTTCTTTCAAACGGGCTTCTAAACCATTAAATATTTTTAAAAGTCCGTTCCGTTTCAGGATTTTTACCAAACACTCATTATAATTGACAAAGGGCTTCCTGGGCTTGGAAGTCCGTTTTGAGCCTAGAGGAAGCCCAGCTAAACATGTATTTAAGTCAATGTTTACGAGTATATATAGAGATCGAGAAAGAGAGTGATATTTTTGGGATGAAATTAATTTATAGATATAGAATATGCGTATTAAAGAAACAATTTAAGAGAAAAAAATAAATAAAAAAAACATACATAAAATTCTACGATGAAATGAGAAATTTAGGGAAGCACTTTTCATATTTTTACAATATATATATATATATATATATATAATATAATATAATATAATATAATATAATATAAGAGAGGGAGAAAATCCAAGTGGCACGAGCCCGTGGGCCTTAACTCCCTTAATCCCTTAAAAGAATCATGTAATTTTTCCATACAAGTGCACAAATAATTGGTTTCTTTCTGCACGTGGTTAAATTATATATATATATATATATATATATATATATATATATATATATATATATATTTACCCTAACAAACATTGAACATATTATGAAAACATAAAAACAATACATGAATCAACCCTTTCTAAGGCAAGGCGGTTACCAGGCCACAAACAAACTTATCAAAAGTACCACTAAGCAAATCCCACAATATAACATGAAAAGGCAATCCTATAAATTGGTGCACTAACCAAGTGGATTGCCAAAGCCTGTAAAGGCAGAGAGCTAGGGCTACGTGAACTAATAAGAGCCCTAAAAGCATAGCTTGTCCTTCACGCACAAGTGACCAATTCCTAATTGCCTTTGACAAGGGCACAAAAGAGGATGTAACCTTAGAATGTTGAAAAGTGGTGTATTCCCCCACGTTGATGGAACAGGGCCATCACATATAATATATAAACAAACAACATTGTATATAGTATACACACGTATAAACAAACACATATGGTGACTTTATTTAATTATGATTGCAACTTGTAACCAAGCCAATCTAGATGCATAGTAGCAATAGCCTGAAATAAGGATAATTCACTTCACATAAGGTGTACTTATTCATAAGCTTTTGTCACCGAGGCGATACGTTGGCACGGCGAGCAAGTGTTTGGCTTTTGGCATTGCGAGATCAAACTTTTCATTCATGTCCAACTCACTGCATGACATGCCATCAGGCAACTTCCAGTCGAAGCAATGCACTAATTGAGCCACCATTAATCGAATGGTCGTTAATCCTAAATGCATTCCTGGACATCCTCTCCGACCTGACCCAAATGGTAAAAGTTGAAAATTACGTCCTCGGAGGTCTATGTTGCTTCCAATAAACCTCTCAGGAAAGAAATCATCTACATTATCGGACCACACATTAGGATCATGTCCCAACGCCCAAGCATTCACTATAATTTGTGATTTCTTAGGAATGTAATATCCATCTATCACAATGTCCTCTATGGACTCACGAGGAATCAGTAATGGCCCAACTGGATGTAGTCTCAAAGTCTCTTTAATTACCATGTCTAGGTAATTAAACTTGGCCAAATCTGTCTCTTCCACCATTTGACGCATTCCAACAACACTCTTGAGCTCTTCTTGGAGCCGGCTCATCACCCTCGGATGCTTAATGAGCTCGGAGAGGGCCCACTCTATGGCTATAGTTGACGTGTCAATAGCTGCTGCGATCACGTCCAATACGATTGCTTTTATATTCGTCCGATTAATCATGAACGATAGCTTGTCGTGGGTAGTTGATGCAGACTGGTTCATCATTAATGATAGCATTATATGGATGAAGTTTTTGTCATGCCTTTGTTGCCCATTTCTAGCCGCTTCTTCAACATGGTCATTAATAATGACCTCCAAGAATTTGTCAATGGCACTGCTGGTTGCCTTTAGGCGTCGAGTCAACCCCTGAAGGACGTTCATGAAATTAATGACATTTACATTTTTATAATCATAAATTAATTAATGTTAGAACAATATATTGTTGCCAATTGGTTTATATTTAATTTTGTAGAATATTATGACATGTATACAAAGGCCATTAGAATAGTTGTGCAAACAAGATTTGGCTCCATATGCTTAATTGAGTGACAATTTGATAGAAGAAAAGTATGACATACTGACAGATCACTGTGAATGGAGATTGAAGAAGCAACTAACACTTATATATGGGAAAATTTAATACTTAAATTAATTTAAAGCTTAATTTGTATAGACTAAGTTCATGAGTCAGAGATAAACAGACTCGAACTACTGACATTCATTGCGAGATAAACTATTGCCTCTCAGGTCCTTGAATGTTGTGTTTGAAAGTATCGAATTGACGCATTGAATTTGAAATCGGAGGAGCCACCAATTTAATACTCCAAAATATAACAAAAAGATTAATGCTCTCTCTCATATTCTTAGACTCCATTTGGATAAACAGTAGAGAAAATAAATGAGTGAATAGTATTAATTATGAAAGAAAAAAAAAAAAAATGATAACAATAATCTCTATTCATATTTGGATAGATAGGGAAAAAAAAAAAAATCATAATATTATTAGAGGGAAGAAAATAAGACTTTGATTGCCTGAAATCTCACCGCAAATGAGGATATCCATTGTTAAATGTCTCCCAACAGTTAACAACGGCTATTTGTTATTACGATGAATGACTTTGGGTAATTAATAAGGTTAGGGATATCTTGTGGGCCTCTTCTTAGGCTTGAAATTTTATTCTCTCTTAGGCTGCCACACTGTAAATTGATGTTGGGCGGGTCTATGCCACACTGTAAATTGACTACTCAATATATATATATATATATATATATATATATATATATATTGTTTTACTGTTTAAAAAAATAAAAAATAAAAAAATGATAACAATCAAATCAAAGTAAATGGGCCATGAATGAAATAATAATTTTTTTCTTTTAATTGTTGATGACAGTTTCGAAATTACGAAAATATCATTTAAACATTATATTTTCTTTCATTATTTTTAAGAAAAAGAAAATAAATAGATAACATTATTGAAATTAACATGATTTTATAAGCTTGCATTGGATTTACGACAATACTTGCCTCCATGCTACTGTATTATATTATATGCATACATAGTGCTTATTCGAATCATGCATATCCGGATAAAACATAATATATGATAAAATACCTATATAGTATATGGTAGAACACATACATAAATATCCACAAACATGAATAGACAAAAAAAATATAAACAAATGATGTTGATGGTAACACTGTTCCCCTTTAAATAATTTCTTTGTATTTATTCTTTCTTTTTGACCATAGGTTAGGATTGTGATAGGAAAGTAACGTTTTGTTTTTCTATTTTTGATACGATAATATAGAAGTAACGTCAGTGCAAAAAGAAGTACTCCGTATAATATATATATCCTGGTACCTTAACTTAATTCAAAGAGAGAGGAGATACTAGCTGGCTAATTTAAAGCCTTGGTCTCTGACATATGCCGATGGTTTTGGCCGATTGGTTTGGTAGAATAGACGTAGTAGTGCACGTGAGCAACTTTCTTTCTTATCTTCAATAAAGCCGGTAAGGCCGCCAAACAACTAAAAAAAGAAAAGGGTTTTCGGTGGACTAACTTGTGGGCTTGATTTGGTTGAAGAGGTGCAGAGATTTTGCTGTGTTAAACTGCCATCAGATTTTTTTTCTTTTCCCATCTTGATATTTCAGATGGCCGTGTATCGGCGGAGCCATCACTTGTTGTTGGTTGTTTTTAGTTTGGGGGTTCGCTGTTTAGGGGCCTCGGTTCTCCATTCTTCTCATCTTTGTTGTCATTCGGATCGCCTCAACAATCTCTCTCTCGGAACAGAGTTGTTTGCGCAGAGAGGAACAGAGTCGATTGGCAATTTTTTTTTCACCGACGACCTTCAATTTTCGGTCGCCGAGAAGTCTGCAGAGACTAATAGTGCTGTTTATCCCACCGACGACCCCTCTGCTAATATCATTTTTCTTATATTTTTCATGTGCCGTCAGTTATTAAAGTTGTGATTAATGTCAAATTATTTTGATTTAGGCTCTACGTTAAATATTTTTTAAAAAATATTTATTTTTTGATGTCGGATGTGGTAGTAATACATTTACGAAAAAAAATATTAAAATTTAATAAAAATAATTTATCTTTGGATAACTTATTTTACATGTTTCGTCCGATAAGTTCGACCTCAATTTTATTGGATACATTTTTCAAATATCAAAGAAATAAAAATAAAAAAATATTTTACATAAAAAAATATTTTACATCCATCTTAATTTGATAAAATTAAACTATCAACTTTTAAAAGCAGACCATTTTAATATGGATTGCATGATGATTTGACTTGAATGTACAATAAAATTAATTATTAAAAGATAGTTTATGATAACTAACATGAGTTCAATCTCATCGTGGTAGAATTCTTTTGGTAGGTGGCCTGGTGGGACTACAAGTTTTCAACCCAATGTGCCCCCCGCAAAAAAAAAAAAATTTCTTTGTGATTTGATTATATCCTTTTAAGGTCAGAGTCAGTCTATTCAATATTTAAAAATATTTGTTTGTGATTTGATTTTTGGTATTTGATAATTTTTAATATTCATGGCTTCCGATATATATAGCATGAAAAAATATACAGGTATAGTATATACTTACCTGAAGGTCAAGTACCCCAAGGAAAGGGATATAGTCAGCCAGGTTGAAAGCTCCTGCCAAGTGTAGGGCCTCGTGAACAATACCCTTGAGATCAAACCTATCATCTCTACTGCACCCAACGACCATCTTATACGTCATGTCCTCAATCACTTCGCCCACCTTATTGCTCAAATCCACAACCTCACTCGCTTTCGCTGCATCCATTACTAATTGCACCATTGACTCTATCTTCTCCCTTCGGACACCCGCGAACGAATCGACCTTCGTCACACTTAGAAGCTCCAGTGTACAGAATTTCCTAACGTTGCGCCAATATGAACCATGCTCGGTGAAAACCACACCCTTTCCACCATAGGAAAAGTGGTTAGGTACTTGGACTTTTGGCCGGCTAGCAAACACTGTGTCATGGGTCTTGAGGATAAGCTCGGCAGCTTGGGGCGATGAGATTACAATGGTTAGCACAGAGCCTAGCCGCATGGACATGATGGGACCATATTTTTTGGCTAACTCTGTTAGAAATTAAACTTTATTTTATTTAGTGTTTTACATTTATATGAGTTTTTTATTGGAGTTAGTGGGGGGCATGAGAGTTACAACTAGTAAATGGTCATGTTAGTGGGTTAGTGGGAGTTTTGCCTACTAAATGGTCATGTTAGTGGGTTAGTGGGAGTTTTGCCTACTAAATGATATGTTAGTGGGGTTTTAAGTTTCATTTACATTTATGTTTTGAAGCCTATATAAACCCATGCATTGTACTCATTTTCCATCAAGTGAAATAAGAAATATTTTCCTCCATTTCTATTCTCTTCCAAATAGTATAGTGTTGTGTGTGTAACTAGGCCACTATTTCCAACAAAGTGGTATCAGAGCTAGTTTGTGAGAGAGAGAAGAAATGGCAAACAATTCGGTTCCATTTCAAATGCCTCGATTCACCAAAGATAACTATGAAAATTGGTGTATCCGTATGAAGGCAATTTTGGGAGCACAAGATGTGTGGGAAGTTGTTTCCAAAGGTTATGATGAGCCAGAAGATGAGGCAACTTTGTCTCAAGCCGAAAAAGATGTTTTACAAGCCATGAGAAAGAAGGACCAAAAGGCGGTGATGACCATCCATCAATGTTTGGATGATGGAATGCTACAAAGAGTTGCTAGTGCAGAAAATGCAAAGCAACTATGGGAGATTCTTCAAAATTCCTTCCAAGGAGTTGATAAAGTGAAGAAGGTTCGCCTCCAAACGTTACGGGGTGAATTTGAAGCATTGCATATGAAGGAATCTGAATCAATTTCAGATTATATTTCGAGGGTCCTGGCTATTGTAAATCAACTAAGGAGATATGGCGAAACCACCATGACTGATACAAGGGTCGTTGAAAAGATCATTCGGTCGTTGGATTCCAAATTCAACTACATTGTTGTAGCCATTGAAGAGTCAAAGGATTTGGATTCCATGACTGTTGATCAACTCATGGGTTCGTTGCAAGCTCATGAAGAAAAGGTGGTGAAGAAACAAGAAGCATTGGAGCAAGTGCTACAAACAAAGTTTTCGTTGAACGAAAGAGACGAAAAACATGGAGGAAATCAAAGGGGCCGAGGACGTGGAAATGCACGTGGCCGAGGAAGAGGAAGAGGCCGTGGAAGAGGAGAAAGAAGCGGTCAACACACAACCAACAATGAAGAAAAAATCCATGACTCACAACAAATAAGAGGTCGTGGTAGAGGAAATTACTCAAGGTCATATGGAAGGAGGTATGATAAGTCTCAAATTCAATGTTATAATTGTCAAAAGTATGGTCATTATGCTTCGGAATGTAGAAATGTTGCTAACGATGTTGAAGAAAAGGCGAATTATGTTGATGAAGAAGTGGAGCCTACTTTGTTGTTAGCATACAAATGTGAAAGGAGTGATCAAGAAGATGTGTGGTATCTTGACACCGGTGCTAGCAATCATATGTGTGGTAGCAAAGAGAAGTTCGTTGATATTGATGAATCAATAAATGGCAAGGTAACATTTGGAGACTTATCACAAATTCCGGTAAGAGGGAAAGGTAAAATATTGATTCGTTTGAGAAATGGGCATCATCAATTTATCTCTAATGTTTATTATGTGCCTAATATGAAGAACAATATTTTGAGTTTGGGACAACTCTTAGAAAAAGGCTACAATATATCCATGAAGGATTGTAGTCTTTCGATAAGAGACCCATTGGGTAATTTGATTGCCAAGGTTCCAATGACAAAGAACCGGATGTTTTTGCTAAATATTCAAGCCGACGAGGCTAAATGTTTGAAGGCTTGTGTTAATGATTTAACTTGGCTTTGGCACTTGAGATTTGGGCACTTGAATTTTGGAGGATTAGAGTTGTTGGCCAAAAAGAAGATGGTGAAGGGATTGCCTTTCATTAGCAATCCAAATCAATTATGTGAAGGATGTCTCGTTGGAAAGCAATCAAGGAAAAGTTTTCCTAAAGAAGCTACCACAAGAGCTACGGCGCCACTACAACTTATCCATTCGGATGTTTGTGGTCCAATTTCTCCATCATCATTTGGTAAGAATAATTATTTTTTATTATTCATTGATGATTTTAGCCGAAAAACATGGGTGTATTTTCTTAAACAAAAATCGGAGGTGTGTGAAATTTTTAAAAAATTTAGAGCACTTGTTGAAAAACAAAGTGGCTATGATGTAAAGGCTCTTCGATCCGATAGAGGTGGTGAATTCACATCAAATAATTTCAAAAAATTTTGTGAAGAAAATGGAATTTACCATCCTTTAACGGTTCCGAGATCGCCCCAACAAAATGGAATTGCAGAAAGGAAGAACAGAATCATTCTCAATATGGCTCGAAGCATGTTGAAAAGTAAGGAAATGCCTAAAGAATTTTGGGCTGAAGCGGTTGATTGTGCGGTGTACTTGTCCAATCGGTGTCCTACTAGAAGTGTACAAAACAAAACACCACAAGAAACATGGAGCGGAAGAAAGCCAAGTGTCTCTCATTTGCGGGTTTTTGGGAGCATTGCCCATGTGCACGTGCCGGATGAAAGGAGGACCAAGTTAGACAACAAAAGTGAAAAAATGGTGTTCATTGGCTATGATGCAAATTCCAAAGGCTACAAGTTGTACAATCCAAGCAATGGGAAGATTGTCATTAGTAGAGATGTTGAATTCGAAGAGGGAGCCACATGGGATTGGAACACTCCAAATGAAGATTATAATATTTTTTCAATTTCAGATGAGGAGCAAGAAAATGAAGGCATGGAGCAGCCCATTTCTCCACCAACATCACCTCCACCGCCATCAATTCAAGATCAATCAATTCCATCATCATCAAGTTCAAGTGACACACCACCACTTCGCATGAGGAGTCTTCGTGACATATATGACGAAACAGATGAGGTAACGGAAAGGTTAGGTGATCTAACACTTTTTTGTCTCTTTGCGGATTGTGAACCCGTAGGATTTGAAGAGGCTGCACAAGACAAAAAATGGAGAAATGCTATGGATGAAGAAATTAAATCCATAGAGAAGAATGACACATGGGAGCTTGCTACACTTCCAAAAGAGCAAAAGGCAATTGGTGTCAAGTGGGTGTATAAAGCAAAGCATAATGCAAATGGTGAAGTTGAAAAATATAAAGCAAGATTGGTCGCCAAGGGGTACAACCAAAAGCCTGGAATTGACTATGATGAGGTATTTGCACCCGTAGCTCGTTTGGAAACAATTAGATTGTTAATTTCTTTGGCAGCCCAGAACAATTGGAGAATCCACCAAATGGATGTGAAATCGGCTTTCTTGAATGGGTTTCTTGAAGAAGAGGTGTATGTTCAACAACCCATGGGCTATGTTGTAAAGGGGCAAGAAAACAGAGTCTTGAAATTGAAGAAGGCTTTATATGGCTTGAAGCAAGCACCAAGAGCGTGGAATAAGCGAATTGACAAATATTTTCAAGACAATAATTTTTCAAAGTGCCCATATGAACATGCTCTTTACTCCAAAGTAAGTGAGAATGGAGATGTATTTTTTGTTTGCTTGTATGTGGATGATTTAATCTTCACAGGTAGCAATCCAAAAATGTTTGAAGATTTCAAGAAGGTTATGGCTCGAGAGTTCGAGATGACAGATATTGGCATCATGGCTTATTATCTTGGCATTGAGGTCAAGCAAATGAAGGATGGAATTTTCATTCACCAAGAAGGCTATGCTAAGAAAATTCTTAAGAATTTCAAGATGGAAGATTGTAAATTGGTGAACACGCCCATGGAAGTTGGAATTAAATTGTCAAGAGATGAAGATGGAGAAACGGTGGATCCAACATTTTTCAAAAGTCTTGTTGGAAGCTTGAGATACTTAACATGCACAAGGCCGGACATATTATTTGCGGTTGGGCTTGTTAGTCGGTTTATGGAAAGACCCACCATAACTCATTTCAAGGCGGCTAAGAGGATTCTTCGTTACATCAAAGGTACCCTTGATTTTGGGTTATTCTATTCATTTTCTAATGATTTCAAGCTTGTGGGTTATTGTGATAGTGATTGGGCCGGAGATTTGGATGATAGAAAAAGTACTTCAGGCTATTGTTTTTTCATGGGAAATACTGCTTTTACATGGTGTTCAAAGAAGCAACCCATTGTCACCCTCTCAACTTGTGAAGCAGAATATGTTGCAGCCACTTCATGTGTCTGTCAAGTAATTTGGTTGAGGAATTTGTTGAAGGAATTACACATGCTACAAGAAGAGTCAACGGAGATTTTTGTGGACAACAAATCAGCAATTGCTTTGGCCAAGAATCCGGTGTTTCATGAACGAAGCAAGCATATTGATACAAGATTTCATTTCATTAGAGAATATATAACTAAGAAGGAGGTGGAGCTTAAGTTCATCAAGTCACAAGATCAAGTTGCGGATATTTTCACCAAGCCCCTCAAGTTTGCAGATTTTCACAAGTTTAGGAGTTTGCTTGGAGTTGAAAAAAAATCAAGTTTAAGAGGGGGTGTTAGAAATTAAACTTTATTTTATTTAGTGTTTTACATTTATATGAGTTTTTTATTGGAGTTAGTGGGGGGCATGAGAGTTACAACTAGTAAATGGTCATGTTAGTGGGTTAGTGGGAGTTTTGCCTACTAAATGATATGTTAGTGGGGTTTTAAGTTTCATTTACATTTATGTTTTGAAGCCTATATAAACCCATGCATTGTACTCATTTTCCATCAAGTGAAATAAGAAATATTTTCCTCCATTTCTATTCTCTTCCAAATAGTATAGTGTTGTGTGTGTAACTATGGAGGTTACCGATGACCGGTAGGCCTCGGGGACCTGGTGGTAGTTTCTGGTGGTTCCGTGGTGATGAGGCGGCCAGGCGGAGATGGATGAATGACCATAGAGCTCCGATGAGCACCAAGAGAACAGAAAATGTGAAGGGAGACATATTTGGTTGTTGGGTGTGGCACTGAAGTAACTAAAACAACTGGAGTACTTGTATATTCTTCTGGCCGGCTGGCCTTAAATAGAAGTTTAATGGCACTAAAGTTATAAGCTGAGAAACTAGGGTGCACACGCAACTGAACCGTAAAAGATTGGTTAGGTTCTGTTCAGACCCAGAACCCTACTTATGGAACTTCATTCGAGAACCTCCCTCCTATAATAAAACACCATTAAATGTACATCTCCTCAAATAGCTGATAATGCTCCCTCCTTTATTATCAGTAGTCCATTTCTCTCTTTTTACATGTCTTAAAATAATTGTACTCTTTAAAAAGTCAAGTCAAAGTATATTTTTTTTACATTTTCATCATTATCCTTCATTTTTTTAAACAACTATATATATTTAAATTAAAAAGAATAATTTGATAATTTTAAAAGGAGACAATGCATTAATTGCATGTCCTTAAAAATTTATAAAACCAAAGATGGACAATTAATAAAAGACGGAGGTAGCATTAAACTTGTAATACCTTATTGCTAATATTTTATTAGTTAATATTTAATTGTTTGCACTCAAGTGAAGTCCAATCTTAAATTTAATATTTTATGAGACATTCAAATGTTTTATTCGTTTAGAGTTAAAATACAATATCAGAATATATAAAACTGAATGGAAACTATTGGATTGTACTTAATTTACTAATAAGCACCCCTAATAATAGAATAAACATTGAATGCATATAATTTTTATAATGAGAGTACCAAAAAAAAAAAAAAAAATTCCCTAAGCACTGTAGACTGTGTAATCTTATATCAAGTTTTATAATAATATTAGAGCGGTGCGACCCGACCCGACCATTATTCATCCGACACTAACCATCCGACACTAACCGGCTGTCATACGTGGCTGTCCAACGTGGCAATTTTCCTCTATTTTTTTTTTTTTTTTTTTTTTTTTTTGAACCAGATGCCCCTTCTCTCTCCCTCCTCCGGCGAACATTCTGCAACCACCGGTGAACCCATCTTCTCCATCAAAACTATCTTTATCCCTCTCCAATAAACTCTATCTCTAGAAACCAGTACATGAAACGAAGACCCATTTTCATTGTCAGAAAGAAAAAAAAATACAGAGACCCATTCAGTTTCTCAAACCCTTGATGAAATTGGGGGCGATCGATCTCCATTTACAAATCCAAAGAGCTCAATCCATCACCCTCTATGGCCTCCACTTCAATCTCACCTCAACAACCCAACCAAAAACAAACCCATTGAGGCAAGCATATATATATGTATAGAGATTTGTAATTACCTAAAAAAACATAGAGATTTGTTGTGCATCTATATTATCATGTAGATAGAGAGTGAGTAGAGAGAGGGGTTTGGTAATATTGCTGATGCGTCTTTTGGGTTCTTATTTGGTTTTCAAAGTCATATTCAAGATACAGAGAAACCATTGATGGTGGTGGAGGTTTTTTTTTTTTTTTTTTTGATAAATTGTATGCAACTAATAGAATAAATCAGAGAATCAGAAAAAACAAAAAAAAAAACACAAAATGAAAACACCGACAGATGGAAGATCACTGGAAAACATAGGTAGATGAAGGAGCGCGTGGGCGCGTGAATGGCGAGTCAGATTACTCACAGGAGCGTGGGCTTTTTCTGGGTGAAGATGCAGAGAGCAGCGGCAGAAGTCAGTGACGGTAGAGGGTGGTGTTGACGATATAGAGAGCAGCGGCAAAGCATGGCCCTTAGATCCAAAGTTTTTGAGGCGCCGGCCGGCCAGGGAGCTTCAACCCAGTCATAACCAAATCGCTAAAGAACAATCGTCGTCGTCCCTTGGGTTCAGTCTTGCTTGCCAATGGTGACCACCCAAACAAGCAGAACACCAACGAAATACAGTCACTCATTGAAATCGTCGTTCACATCGGTTAATCCGTTGAACCGAGCTATCCGTCTGGACTCATCTGGACCGAGGTCGGCGGCGGTGGAGAGGTCTGGAGGGAGGAAGGAGAAGGTAGAGACAGGAAAGTTACGTGAAGAGAAGGCAAAAAAGTCACAGCCTAGTTGTACCAATCTACATTTGACAAGTGTGTCGGTTTTTTCCGGGTGAACAGTAATTCTTTTAGCATTTCTCATAATATTAATATTATATTCTTTCTGTCCTAAATTAAGTGTCATGTTTTGAAAATCATGAATATAATATTTAATTTGAAACAGAGGTCCTAAATTAAGTGTCATGTTTTGAAAATCATGAATATAATATTTAATTTGAAACAGAGGTAAATATCTATTTACACAAACACGCATTAACGCACACAATGAGACACACCATGGGACTTGATAAGACTTCTTCACAGCAGGGCAACAAGTGGACATCTCTTTTGACTTTTGATCGCCGTCCAAAAATATAGGTTGATGCGTTTAATCTAAAAATATAGGTTGATGCTTATTACTTTAAATATATTTAAGGAATAAACTTCAATTAGAGTTTTAGATTAGGTCACAATTATCGACCTATGAATCATTAATTAATATATAAATTAAATATTAAATTAAATTGTCTATCAAACCAATGCTCCAAAAACTATGAAATAATTTCTCTTTGTTAGCTATGACAATGACTTTTTTCCGATTTTTATTTGAAAAAAACTTAGTTACATCACTGATAGTAATGGTGTAGGATCCATTTGGTTAGACAAAAATTTATGATGGAAAATGAAAGTGAAAGTGAAAGAAAAAAAAATCAAGTTTTATACGTGTATTTGATTAGGAAGAAAAGTTTTTAATAAAATTGTGAGAAAATATTATTTAATTACTTTGAATAGCATGAAAGGAAAAAGAAAACGATTTACTTATCAAAACTACCCTCACGATTTCAAATATTAAAAAGAAATTAATTTTGTGTTAGATGAATCATCTTTATACCTAATTATTTATATTAATTTTAAATCAGACAAACTAAGGAGGACTGCATTTTAGTTTTACTAGATTTTTTTTTTATTTTGTGTTTTTAACAATAATTAGGGCAAATTTCACAAAATCCCAATACTATTACTTTTTGTATCAAATACTCCCAATCTATTTTAGAAAATCCCCAACACTATGAAATTTGATCACTTTGCACCATGTTTGTGATTAAATGACGAAACTACCCTAAAAATATACCAAATCAATTAAAAAAGCCAAAATTGGTATTTTGCTAATTACAAAAATAGCCTTGGTGAAAAATTATAATCCTACCCCTCATTTTCTTCTCAATTACTAGTATAATAACAACCTCAATTTCTCAAAATATACGTGCTGGCTGTTGACACCTTAGAGACAGGGCACAACTATCAGTCATGGCAGTGGGTGTAGGAAAATAGAGCAGCGCCAAGTCCACCACCAAACGCAGAAACAAAAATTCTGAAAATGCCCTTCGCCACCGTCACTGTGAAAACCTGACCCACCTCATCACCCTTGTCGCTTTCCGCCACCTCCGCCGCCCATTCTTTCCTCTCCCAAAACGACCTCCGCCCCATCCTTCCCAAACCCTAACCCTAGAATCCCATATCTCCTTTCTCTCCACTCTTTCCCCTAACCCTCTAATCTCGAGCATTGTCACACTCTACATCTAATTTTCCTCAATTTCCAAACACTTTTCCTCGGAATTGTTTTTTCCCCAGTTTTGATTTTAACTGGAATTCTCTTTCTTTCTCTTCCTTAATTAGGACTCATCCAAACGACGGAAAAGGACCGACGCACAACAAACCCATGATTTATCATCACCAGATGAAGATCGCAAATGGGTCTCACGTGAACAACACCCATAGTCCAAACTCGAAACGGGTTTGGGTTTGGATTTGGATCCAAATCCGTTTTACGCTGATTCGTTTGTTGAATGGAACTTGAGAGCGCCATTGGAGGTCATATATGAAGAGTACGAAGGTGAAGATGAAGAAGGAGAAGGAAACGACGACGTTTCGGTCGAGAAAGGAGGAGACGTGAAATGGGTATCGAGAGATACCCTTCGTTGTCGCTGTAATATCCGGAATCTGACTCGGATAGCTCGTCGGACGGCGATTTTCTGGTGATCTGAGGCTGGGACTCGCCGGAGAGTATGGGTTTCAGGTGGGAGGAAGACGACAGAGATGGGTTGATTGAGATTGCATTGGATGGTAAGAGAACAAGTGAAGTCGAAGAAGAGAACTTGATTGAGATTGACATTTCAACGGCGAGAAATGACGAATTCTGGCGAGAGTTTGATTAAGTTAATTTCGATTAATTAAAGTGTCATTGGAGACAGAGAAAAAGAGAATTTTGATAATTGGGTTTTGGGTTTGGTAAACAAAGATTAGTGTTATTTTATAATATATGCATAGAAATGGGTTTGATCAAAACGAACGCATCTAGTGGACACACAAAACACAGTCGTTTTGTGTTCTGGTGACTTAAATGTCACCAAGGGTATTTTAGTAATTAGAAAAATACATATTTTGGCTTTTTAATTGATTTGGTATATGAAAAGGGTAGTTTTGTCCTTTTATCACAGATATGGTGCCATGTGATCAATTTTCATAGTGTTGGGGGTTTTCTAAAGTAGGTTGATGGTATTTGATATAAAAAGTAATAGTATTGAAGGTTTCGTAAAATTTGCCCTAATAATTATTTATATTTATATGTAGAATATAGTTCATTTATCATAGTATACTCATGTTTTTATTAAATTATTAAATATATATTTTTATTAAAAGTAATATTAAGTAATATTATTTAATATTCTACAATTCAACTCTTAATTTATCTCCAAAAATTTTAGGCAACCATATGATGAATCCAAATTATGTCAAACCATATAATAGAGTTGTTTAACGTACCATGGCCGAAAGGATAAAGTATAAATTTAATAACCATGTTGTATTTGTTATGTGATTTTGTTTTTTTTTTTTTTTTTTTTTTTTCAAGTAATCAAACTTCAAAAAAAAAAAATTTTTTTGTTTTTTTTCGTTTCTATCCACTTCACGCTAATAAAACGAATCCTATAGAATTTATTAAAATATATATATATTTTTTATTCCTTTATGTGCGATGTATTATTGATTAATAGCACAAGGAAGTTTTTCTAGTCTTTATTTATTGTGGTTGCCTACCACGTTTTATACTACATACTTATATGACGGCTTTTTCAATTCACACTTTAAATTGAAAATATGTTTATATTTGCTTAATTAAAAATATGTAAA